AAGTTTAAAAAATCTGAACTTGGTTAGTTTTTCCAAACTTGCATTAACTTTCATTTCTCCGAGCAATTGTTGACAGCCAACTGTATATTCTAAGAGGAATTTTTTATCTTGTTTTGTGTTCTTACTAAAGAATGATAATAATAATAATAATAATAATAACAATGAAACTAACGCTATTATAGTTTTGTTGCTATTATAATCATTTATTTATCCTTTTAAATTTTTTTCCATTTGTACTATCAATAATAGTAGTAGATACGGTACGTACGTTAGACATGGTGAATATGTTGATACCAAAAGAAAGTCAGTCAATTTGCCGACAACTGGTAATAGGTTATGAATTCCTTTCATATGTACACGCTTCATACACTAAACCCGGTGAAAACACTACAATTGCGTTACATATTTACCGACTTTTACATATCTGTGGCATATACGTATTCGATTGTTCATCTCATGATATTATTACACAGTTATTACGAAACTAAAGTAAATAGATTTAAAAAACCGTCTGTTGTGCTGCTGTTTCCTTGAAATAACATCTAACTCATCAAAATGTTTGGGCCACTAAATGTGTTTTCTATTTTCAACCCCTTAGTCCTTGCTAAGAACTTGGAGCACAACGTGTTGGACATTTCAGTAAGTGACAACTGTCAGTTATTTTAATCTAAAGCATTTTCTATTCTTAGTATTTCTTTCTATTCTTAGTTAGTTTTGTCAACATGGACCTAGCTAAACAGTTTAGTACGCCATGAGTTTCTTATACCTCAGCAGAAGAACATCCCAAGTATTTATCGGAAGGTCGAAGGCTCCAAACCCAGTGAGAGCATTAGTAGTTCTTTTTCTCCGATTACGCTTGTGTAATTCAATGAGTAACATCTTCCTTCGAGACTTATCTTTTCGAACACCATTTTTTTCTAGACTTAACATGAAGTTTTCATTTTGCGATAAAGAAGGAAAAGGAGCCACACGTATTTATTTGGTCAGAAAGGATAATAAAAGCGTCGGGACCCTAAAAAAATTCCGGCAACGGAGCGAATAATGCGATCTGTTTAAAAGATTATCAAGGAAGCTATATTCAAAGTTTATGGAACACCTCCTGTATAAAACGTATACAACAGGACAACTTCGAATAAAGACTGTATTCCAGAATAACAATATACAAGACAGCTTTCACGCATTCCTCTTCATTTTTCTTTTTTTTGAGTTTTCATCAAGAGTTCAAAGTTCAATTCGTGGGGGGTAAGAAACATACAAAAATCCACGTGACACTCTCGGTCCAGTTTTCAACAAGCTCCAATTGGGCAAACGTATTTCAAAGCAGTGAAAGAGAAACAAATAGATTCAAAGTTTTGTTCTGACGAGAACTTTTTAAAAATGGGATTTCTCTTACTTAATTTTCAGGCCGCGGGAGGGAATATGGCAGTGGTATAATGGCAGAATGAAACATTAGTGCATATTAGGTACCAATTTCGGTGGAAGAAACTTGATCATCTTATCTTTTTATACTCACTTTTAAACCCGGTACCTTATAAATTTTCGTTATTGGTAATTCAGAATTATCTACTTAGTATGCAGTCTCCAGAGTCTGACTATTCTGTGACAACTCAATGAGCAGTTTTCCAACTGGGAAAATCTTGAAAATGTAGCGATATTTCATGATTTCTTTTGTAAGCGGTTCAAAAGTAGCAGGAAGTAAGCGTATATACATATTTTTTAATTAAAGTATAAGTGCCCCTTTTTCTTGAGGAGACCAAATCATAGTACTCATAATTCTACCGACATTATCTTAGTCTACATCCAAATGACTGCTTCACACTGCAGTAATGATTGGCGTAATGATTAAATGAACGTTTTAAAAAAATTCCTCAAACATTTAAATTTATTACTCCGCTATAAATTTCCAATCATGATACTTTAAAAAGAATTGATCATTTTTACTAGGTAGACTGTTCTTAAAATTTCCGGAGTGTTAAGATCAATATCCACAATACAGAACCAAGCTCTGTGGGAATTTCCAGAAACTCTCCATAAATTATACGTTGGGAGGTTTCTACCAGTCTCTCCAATGTAGGAGGCTTGGCAGAAGCAATTGATCGTGTAAACCGCTTCCTGTTCGTCACTGTCTGACGTTTGAATAAGATTGGAAATCTGTGATTATAAGATAATTACGATTTTGAAAAAAGAACTTCTATTTTTTTTTTACACAGTTTGGATGTTTTAAGTTGGACATGCACACACACACAGGCCTCGTTAATTTCCTTAATATGGATGAATTTTCCAATAATAATAAAATTTTATCACGAAATTGAGGAGCCTTTTATCGCCACAAGTAGACTGCAATTCAAGCCGGCCATGCGAGAATATTATTAAATCCTGACTTGATCCTTCAAAATGTCGTTTGAGACGTTATTACCAACTGACCTTCATGTACATGGCCACAACGTGGAAGCGAAGAAATTCGCAGAATCTGATCTCAAACAGTGTACATGAGTTAAGTAATCCTTTTGACCTGTGGGTAAAATAACAAGCGATCCCCCCTGGTAAACTGAAATCAAAATCACTAGGGAAAAAAAACACCGACAAAAATTTAGAATTCGTACTACTACCATGTGTTCCCAAAGGCACATTTGGGGAGCCTCGATCAAACGAGACAGTTTTCTTAACTCATGATCACGTCTAAAAATTGCCAAAGACTTATGCTTGTTTTAACGCCAACAATATAGTTCCCAGTGTTCTTTAAATAATTTTTTTCTAGAGGAGCTCTCAAGTAGGTGGAATGAGAGAAGTCCGTTTCCAGCGGATTTCAAAGTATAAGGTTATGTTCTTTTGTCAATATATATATGACGATGTTATGATGACAGGCACAAGAAAAGAAAAGATCAAAGACATCCTTAAGAAGGTTACAGTATCATCTGACTCAAAATCGGTCTTTTTATTTGTAAGTCACATATTCGTCAAACTCCTCAATACGGGAAAAATAATCTGAATCATCAATAAGTTAATATTTTTACATAGTGATATTTTCGGGAAGATCAATGGAAAACCAGTCCGTAAGCTTCCAGCACGCTGTTTTCAAACTGCGCTGTCCTAACATCAAATGTAGCTGTGGCTTGTGAAAACTTTCCTCTTGTAGACTGGCCCTCCCTGCCCTCATGGTTCACTGTTTTGTTTCTGAATAACAAATAGGGAACCGCATCAGTGCATCCAGATTGGTACGATTTCATGGCAAGATCTTGCGCGGGGAGAACACCATAGGAGGCCAAAACACCAAATTCGTATCTCATCAAATTTACGTGTTGTCCTTCTGCGGCATTCTTGTGTCTCGCTCTTTCTTGAATAGGACAACTCATTTTCGACATTTCCAAATATTCAAGAGTGAGTGAAACTAAGGGAATGCTGTACTGCTTTACGACAAAGGGATGTAATATAATGATTATTTAAGAATTATCCATAACACTTTGTTTCGTAACTTTATCCAATCGAGAAGTGTGACTTAGAACAGAGGGTTTCCGGTTTAGTCCCCGCCCAATCGCTCATCAAGCCGTGGTACAAGAGAGATATTTCCATCAACATTTCCTTCTGATTTTCAGGAAATGTTCAAAACACTGGCAAAATGATAGGTTAAGTCTCTAGACTACGAAGGCAAAACAAAGATCAGACTCTTAATACTTTAATACTTTTTTTATGCAATGTTGCGTACACCATGTTTTATTGCATAAAACTTCGGAAGGAAGTCTTTTCACCGTAACGGTTTGTTACTACCATGGAAGTCCATATATGGCTAATGGCATATAAATGGTATGGCTACTTGAATACTCTTGTTATGCAATGCTTCGTACAATATTTTTTACTGCGCAAAACGTTTGAAGGAGCTTTCTTTGCCATGGAAGTCCAAATATGGCTAACGGAAGTTTATTGAAATGCGTATCACCTTTAATACTGTCAGACATTAAGAGGTTACATTCTTGGCCCATATATTTTGATTTTATTTGTTTAATGGCAAGATAGTTGTATTTAGATATAACTTGCACATTAAATTCTACAAATTTTTTTTTAATTTACGGTGACACAAAGTTCTTTGATGATTTTCCTTCACCTCCCAGACTTCCCTCGTCAAATAAACGCGTGGTTACTAAGCAAACGTTTTGTAGCATTCTCCAGCGCTTTATTTTCGTTCCATCGTTCCATTTTCATTTCAACTGTGGGCTTTAGCAATGAAGAGAACTGTTGTCTTTCGCAGGAAATGGGGAAATTGATTAAAGAGAACCTTTTAAAAGGTATTTTCAGAGTTGATTAACTTATTTAAAATTTCACTGCAAATACACAACATTAAATTTCCTCAAGTTTATTTGTGAACATTTTGATGCGCGAACAAACGATCACCTTTTTTACAAAAGCGCATTTTTGGTTTTTTTTTTTTCAAAATCATGCTTGAAAGTTGGGGGTGCGGCTAATACACGAGTGCGGCTTATACACGAGTTTTTACGGTAATGCCATCCTTCGATTTCTTTGTTAGACTTTTTTACTCTAAATTTTTTGTTGTTTGCTGATTGTGTGGTTTTTGCGTCTAATGCGTAGCAACTAGACACTTTGCAAGAGCGGTAAGTACTTCATGCACAAGAAGCTAAGAGCATACGCACACTCTTGTTCCATCGAAAACAGGATAAGGTAATTTCAGATGCAGGGTTGATTCACTTACCGATCGGGAAAATTCAAGAAAGTTAGGCAAACCCGATAAGAGGCGGAGAAGTGGTTGTCTAGTGACAAGTCCAGGGTATCTTATAAGAAGAAAAAAATGAAATGCATTTACGCCATTTCTGGAAATTTTTAAGACAAAACAGAATACTCTGAGTGACATTATGCAACAACTGTTTCCCCTCGGTGTCACACCCATTTTTAATTACAAACCTGCTCAGGGTAAATGAAATGCAATCACGTCATTTCTAAAAGTTTTCAAAATAAAACAGAATATTCTAAGTGACTTTATGCAAAAACTGTTTCCCCTCAGTGACACACCCATTTTCAATAAAATAATTATCTGCTCATGGTAAATATCCGAGTTTTTAGGAAAACCATGCCACCGAAGGCAACAAAATATATACATAAATGAGTTTTAAAACTTACGAAACAAATCTTGTCATTGCCCCAGAGTTAATACAAAGATTGTTATGTAAATCTCTTTTAATTTTCAAATACAAGGTAGCGTTGTAAGTTTAGAATTTTTTTACGTTTGTACTAGATTTTGACCTTTTCTACTACTAACATACGCTAGGTAATATTTATCATTTGAAGAAATAAAGACTACCACCACTTCAACTTGCTCCTGAAGCAAATTCAAATACTACCACATAAGTCTTTTTTCCTATTAAAAATCTAAGTCTTACAGGTTTAAATTAACCCTTCAACCCCTAAGCGTCTCTAGCATATAATTTCTCCTTACAATATCGCCCTTGAATCAAACATTAGGCTAATGAGAATAAAGGAAATGATCACCAACTTAAGCAGCTCTTGATTATTAAACAAATTCTCTTTGTCAGCACCTTGGTAAATGTAGAGTGAATAGTTTGGAGAATATGGATACTGATGTTGGGGGGAAAGGGTTAAGAAGGTAACTTGTTAAATGGCTGTCAAAGTGAACTGGGTTTAACAGAAAGTGAGTGCATGAGAAGATAATAAACATGGATATTCCACTGATAAAAAATTAAAGAAGAAAATTAATAATCATAGTTCATCTCCTATGCGAACACCATCTATCATCTTCTCCAGGGCTTCTTTCATGCTGTCCACAACTAGGATATAACACAAAAGTTATGTGTTCATAGATACAGTAGAAACTGTTAAATATATCAATTCAATTGTGCAATAACACTATTAGTATGAAAAGGAAGGAAGTTACAATAACTGGAGAGGAAAAAGACGAGTGGGAAAATAGAAAGAGCAAAAGAAGGTAAGCAAGGAGGAGGAACAGCTGAGGAGGAGAGGATGGA